TATACAACACATATAGAACTGATAAATAAAACATCAGTACTTTATCGGATATAAAGGCCCATCATGTGCACGTGTCATGTGACCCAATAGTTCGGTACTCATTGGACTAATAGCTCATGAATTATTAATGAGTTTTTAGAAGTTCAAACAGAGTTTCGGTGTGCAATACTTTTCACTCAAGATTTGGAAGTACGCTTCGTAGTATTTTCCGGTAGGAATTGATAGGAAGTGCCAACAGAAAAGAAACTTTCCTTGATGCAAAGCGATCGAAATCTTWAAATAAATCATTTCATTTTCGTCAGTTTGAGCTCTGGACGCAATCAACTTATGAAAAAATTCTTCTGRAAATTGGATTTCTTCTCTTAAGGCCCGTTCACACTTACGATTTTTGCAGTGCGCTTGTCGCGCGAAAATCGCCTGAGTTACGTTTCGAACATCCTTGAAATTTAACTGGAACTCGCGGCGATCGAAAATCGAAAGTCGAAAGAAGATCGAAAATCGCCGCGACAATCGCAGGGCTGTTTACACTTACGATTTGAGATGCGCGAGAACAAAGTGGCGATTGTCGCGCGACAATCGCACTGCAAAAATCGCGTGAAGTGTGAACGGACCTTTATAGCTCGAAAGCAAGTAAACATGACATCGAATTTTGATTTTAATTGAATTTTGATCAAATTGAAAGATTTYGCAGTGAATATGAAAGCCAAGCAAATCCATTGTTGTCCATTTGACTATAAGTTGCGCCGATTACATAGAGCATAGTTGTATTTTACTTTAGGGGGCGTACCGAATGGTCGATTTGTTTTATGCATCAATACTACCAAGTCCAGAATGCTTTGCACTCTTTCTTTTGTAATGTAATCAGYCCCAATTGTTCTACTAATCTCCACAGGGATTAGAAGTTGGGACTAATTACACAACAAAAGAAAATGGGCCAAGCATTCTGGTCTTGGTGATATTTGATGCCATCGTCCAAATCGCCTACATGTATATTCGTAAGGTCAGTGGCGGTTACAGGACATGTACAGGAGGGTTTCATCCCCCGATACAATACGATTTATGACTGAAAATAAATAAAAGTTGTATTTTTACTTGAAAGCTTCGGCCTTATTTTTGGATTTTTTCCAGGCACATAAGTGCRTATTTGCGTTCCTTGAGCTTTATAACATCCTGTGTTCCTGATGTCAAAATCAGGCCAGGCTACCTAGGGTTGAAAATTGACACCAAGTGTGGGTTACCTGTATTTATTTTAGGTTCCCATTYCTTTCAATGACAAAAAGGTTTGTTCGGCTTGTCCAATCCATTGTTGTTTCGTGACGGCACCCTTGAAGGTCATTATTTTAAACATTCAACGGTAAGTCATTGCTAGATCAGAGAAAAATATTCATCACACTGAGTCTGAGGCAGGGTTATMTGGGTTAAACGYACATTGATATCTCTGCGATTTTACGCGATTTTTTGAGGAAACAGAAAGTTTGCTTCTCATTTTCACAATGTGCAGGTTGTTTTTGAGAGTTCGCTGCATGTTTTGGTATACGTTGTTGGATGCAAAGATTATGTGCTGTGACAGGCATTTAGTTCTGACCTTTGCGTTTAGTTTTTGTGCACTGGCTAATTTGAACGACATGAGTCCCGTGGCTCAATAATTATCCYGTAATTATAATCTGGTTTTAACGTAGAAAACAATAAGAACATAAAACAACATGAAGTGCTCATTTTTACTACAGATACTAGCTATGTATAAATTTGGAAACACAAGTTAGACAAAACTAAAAGGAAGCTGAGCTCAAAGAGACTTAAAAATAACTCATGACTGACATTAAGCTGGTAAAACCACTGCAAATCCCAATTTAATCCAACTCTATACTTGCTTCTAGAAACGTGTAGTCAAGCCAGATTAAAGGCAGGTTCGCGGTTGCCATTGTTTTCTTAAACTTCTGCTGCTGCTTCTTCAAAGGATTTGCGAACAAAAACAGTGCAAGCTCTTGAGCGACAAGTCAACATATGGCGGTTCTTTTTCAAAGGTTAATATGAGCCTTGTAAACTTCTTACAGCGGTATATTTTATCCTCTACAATCTAAATCTTCTTAGGRGTGAAGGAGAAATCCTCTCGAAGTGTTTGCATTCCCGCACGAAACACTGAATTCATTTTTGTCGGCCTATTCAGTCGGAAATCTAACTTAGAATCTCCGACTCCTGCAAGTTTGAATATGTTTATATCAACAGCACATATTGTTCAATTCTTTTTCTTCTTTTCTCAAGAGTTTGTTGTTAAGTTTGCATATTCCTGGGTTCATTTGCTTTTGTCCAAAAGTTGCTTTGTATTGATATATGGTAATGTATACGGTTCCCGGTAAAGAAATCACGGATGTTCAACGTAAAAATTTCTTAGTATGGTTTCATTTAGACTGCCTAACGGAAATACGTTTTGACCTTACAGTGATACAATGACAATAAGCTTCTGTTCTCTGTTCTAGAATGTACAATATTTTTGTTTTAATGTCAAATTGTTCTTTGATGAAGGCGCTCAATGCTAAAGGTTAGATTAAAGACAAATGGCAGTTCAATTGTTTATAGTCTCGGTTTTTAATCAGCATTTAATAGATCTTATAATAAAAGGGTGGCTTTTGATCTGTTTAGACTTACAAACTAACTCCACGTCAAGCCGGAGGCACCAAAAAAACACTCGATATCCTCTTGCTCATGTTTATTCAGAGATATAGCWAGTACGTCAAATCAGCGTGAAAACTGCTCCATTTAAATACTTTGCGTAATTGGAAACAACAAWTTTGTCAAGCTGAGGGACAGTTTTTTTGATGGTATTTTAAGTCTTCCACCTTTTTAAGCAGCTTTTATTAGGAAAGCGTCTTATCATGACGGCCACATAGTCAGAGCAGCTTATGATGGTTTATGCTTTTCCGATTTTGTAATCTCTACAGATTGTCACGCGTGTTATATAATAAACAGACTTAGTCAGGAATATCAGGGAGCTTAGGAGCTTTTTCAATGCGCAATAGAGTAGCTGAGATTTTATCGCTTATATCTGAAAACGCTTGCATTTTTCCCGCCAAAATTTGTCGTGTATTTGATTTCCAGATATGCTTTTCTTTATTTGAATTGTTTACGCTGTCCTACCTACTATAATCACATTGTTTTAAAGGTTTACAAGAAAACTGCTCGAAATCGTGCTGTACATTAATCAGAATCTGAACGCAAACGGTTGTTTTTCCTGYGGTTATAGCCCCGTTACACCTGTAGCCATAAAAGCAGTTTCGATATTGYTCACCCTCTAAATGTCAATTCAACGGATTGAAGCAACCATTCAAGTGTTGGTGATTTATATAGCTTTATACGATACAATGTGTCAATATCAAATGGGTAATAAATCTGCTTTTACACGTTCACTTGACAACAACACACTAAACAGCCTTACCATGTCATTTTAGACACGTAACTGGTTTGAACTTTCATATATAAAACAATTTGTGTACTGAAAGACAAGTTTAATACAAGGATATGAACACTACACGGCAAAAACAAATATTCTCATAAYGTCTTTGAGTAACTGATTCTGTATTTGAACTGCGGACCTTGTATCGATATAGGTTAAATTAGATCCTAGCTCTTAAGCTACAGGGACTGACTTGAAAAGACAATTTGTTAGTATAAGAGGGCAAACAGTGAACCTTTTAGTTATTGTAAAACAATAAGTCTATTGTTGTTGAATGTGTTCAGTTGGATAAAACAGCTGACTTTGTAGATTGAATGATGCGATTAATAATGACTTGTCCCCAATTATGAATTTTATTGATTTTKGGGRATTCTTGATAGTTTTCGGATGGCGAAATGGTTTCGTTCACGTTGTCCTGCGCCATTTTGAAAGGCAGTCACGTGCTTTTGCATCAAAACGAGAAGAATTATTGCCCACTATATATAGCTCAAAAAGAGGTATCTATCATTGCATGCTTAACGGCTGTCTTTCATCGTTGCAAAGGCATGACTACCTTTCAAAATGGCGCCCAGGAAACTGCGAAGAAAACTATTGACAAAAGGTAAACGATCAATAGGACCAAATGAACAAGAATCAACGCTGAGACTAAWATAAATCAAGAGAAAAAGATTAATACAATATATTCACAATAGTATATTCAGTAATTCTCCGTCGAMCGTGAAAAGAAAATGATAACCTAGTATTTTATTCTTAAAATGTTGATAAAAAGGAAAACAATTTGTGTTTTTGTTTCTATAAATACGTCCAGTTGTTYCCACATACAATCAAATGAGGTTGAAGTCTAGCACTGACTATGTAGCTATAGGCCTTAGTATTTTTAATGACGAATCCACCGGAAATCAATAGTATAGTTGAAGGTTTGCACACCCATCATTTCCCATCATTCTTCTTGTTTGTTATTGTTCAGTTTTGTTTTRTTTTTATTTTGTTTTTCCTCCGTCCCTATCTGTTTGACTAGTTAATATAACTCGACTATTTGATAAAGACTTTGTTCAATGCCTCTCACTCGGGTGCAAATGTTGTCACAGTGTGATGATGATGGAGAACTGACGCTTCGAATTGATTTATTGATTTTCTGACTGGCTGACTGAAATTAACCGCTTCGAATTGATTTATTGATTTCTGACTGGCTGACTGAAATTAACCGCTAATTCACTTCTCTACAAGCTGCAACGCCTAGCACAGTTTATATATTGCCTGTGGGATTTTATCTCATTTTATTATATTTGTCTCAAGAATTCCATTTAGTACTCACAAAATAATAGTTTCAAGTCGAGGCTTGAGTGGATGCAGCATATTATCTCACACCTCAAGCCTCGACTTAAAACTATTACTCTACAAAATCGAGCTGTATATGGGATCAGATAGCCCACAATACTCTTTACAAACACAGTCAGCTCATGGGCTGGACTAGCCAATCAGATTGCGAGATGGTGATGATAAGGGATTACTTTACTAGAGGGTAAACTGTGGGAAAAATATAATAGACTAAGGGTAGAATGAAAAATATACATGATTAATCAATAATAATATTTAATATGATTAATGAATAATTGCAATGTTGCCGGCACAATTGGTCTAGACGCTCTTAGAGCGTTTACTCGCGTCCTATCAAAAGATTTACCTTTATCTTTGTTTATTAGTGATCATTTAATGCAAAATTAAAATCCTGAATAATGGCACTGATTTAGGCCGAATGGCATTRAGTGTTTTAAATCAAAATGTTGTAAAATGAGACGTTTTGTTTCCATGTGAAACTCACTTGGTGAGTAAAGGTTCATTTGCGTCCGAGAGCCTTTGCGGGGTTCAAAATCTATCCTGTAAGCACGCGTGGAAATAATTATTCTCCAAAAAAATCTCTGAAAAATACCAGGGTCAAAGTTAAAGCAGCAAAGAAGGAAACGAATGAAACCGTCAATGATAAATTGTCCATATGTGAGAAAAGCACGCAAAGGTTCTCTGGTGTACTTGGGCCTTTAAACAGTTTAATAAGCACGTCCTTGACATTAATTAAGTAAAAGAAATTCTATTCTAAATCTACTGCAGGGAGTTCAGTTTATCGATATCATGTGTGATCCCGACTAGACGCTAAATATGGAGTCAAGAACAAAACTCCTACGACCACAGACGGGATGTAAGTGAATAAAAAACGTTCGGGTAATGAGCAAGCTTCTTTTAGAATGAATGAMTGAAACTTTTAAAAACATGATTACCGCCTATTTAGATAAATAAACAACTGCATTGGTAACGGAAGTTGACAGTTTCTGTGTATAAGACATTTTAGAAATTCTTGCTCCAACCGTGCCATGATCGTATAGTCATTTTTTGGAAGTTACGCGTGCCTCCATATCATATGCACTTTGCAMTTTGCAAAAAGTAATCAGTCGGAAATGTTTAAATAACAAAATACAACTTAGAACGTGAAGACATAACTGCTAGTGCTTTCTGTTTTATGATTTTTTAGATATTTGCATGCCAAAAATGTGTCTGGAGAACATTCTTTATAAATTTGAATATTTACCTAAATGACGCTACGCCCTTGGTTTTTGTAGGCTGTGTAACGTGACCCTGTATGCTCGCTAGTATTATTTTAGAATTGAATMCTTAATTAGCGCTATTTTATACCTTATTATCACTGTATGTATCACCGATTAACGATTTACCGTGAACACTTGTAATAATATAGGGCTGCGGTAGCAATCATTTTGGCTATTGAGGTGCTCTGTAAATAAACTTTAGTGAGCTCAATCAYACCGCCATAACTGAACGACTCGGCTAATATGACCTTCGACGTTTGATACTAGACGTTTTGTTTTTGTCGSAGCCAATGTCTGTTATTTCTCTAAACGACCGTCAAGTTCTCCATTCAAAAAAGCATTACATGTGTTCTTGATCCTACTTGGTAGTCAGGGTTTAACAAAGAACTTCCGTCGTATGACCTTGAAACTCATTCACTTTGTTTATCATGTTTTTAATTYTTCGACTATCAAAATGCGAGCTTTCTTTCTCTTAGTTACAAGGTTATGGCATTATCAAAAGACCAGCTATTCAATTTAGAAGGCCATTTTAAGCCCATTAATATCACGTTTTTTGTGGCATTGCAACAACGGCAAAGTCAGAGAAGATTATACTGCTTTATAGACATTTCACAGTTGAATTTTGCTCAACTTCAACTGACTCTTGTCACATAATGTTTTCTTTCACTGGAGGAACATCAAGTCCAGATGCATGAAATTCATGAACGAAAAGGAAAATAAGAATAGTCGTAAATCCCACGGGTATATTTTTGAATATTTTACATTGAGGCTTTGCCTAAGTCAAATAGAAATGGACTGAAGAAACTGTAGTATTTTACTTTTCAAACTGTGAATGCTAAAGCTGAGAATCAGATATATTCAGATAAGCAAAAGCCCAAAGGGCTCTTCCTCTGGTCAGTTTACATCCTGTCTTGCAAGATAAGATTTAGACACCCTTCAAGACCGTCGGCTAAATTTCCGTACGGCCGACAATATGCGAAGAATTTCCGATATACGTTTGTCATTGATCGTAGACTTTCGTCAAGTCTTCGTAAAGTGAGAAATTGTGCCGGCCAGAACATTTCTGAAGTTTTGAACGGTTGGGCTATGAAATGTTCTTGACTTGCCTACCCCTAATTCCGCTRTATAGTGAGATTCATAGTTGGAGCAAATACTGACAACCACGACAAGTTCGCGTCACAAGTTCTCGAGTTAAGTCGTGGTTGACTTTTTCAGAAATCAACCTCAAATATGCATGTCAATCAGTTATGACACACTTAAATAATGGTTGTATACATTTCAGTTTTCCATTTTGATGAATTTTCCATTTTTTTTTTCTTTTCTCAGTTTTTGTCCTTTTTTTTTCTTTCTTTTTTTTAAATTAATGTTGCCATGTGACAGTTTTAATTGGACCTGTCATGATCATTTTTCAGTAGTTCTGTTGAAATTTAGTTAAAACTCGTATTCTGATCAATAATGAAGTTATTGTAATTGGTATTTCAAGAAAAACCTTGCGTCCATTTGTGATGAAGACACTTATRTTCAGAAAGCACTGTCCATATACAGGACCCACTTTACAATCGTTCAAAGGCCCATTAACATGTAAATGTCAAACATGGACCTGTGTCAATTTTGTATACAGTAAACCCGTCCAAAGTTAACAAATCGATTATATATATATATTGTATATGAGTGCAAGCAGGTAGAAAAGTGTCATTTTATTATAAAATTTCATTTACATGTCAAGTCAAACAACGCGACACGCAGCGTTGATAATTGAATACACTATAGCTCGTCTAAAAGAACTGAAATCCGTGTACATTGGTATTAAACTGCATCTAGAGTTCAAAGTAAAAAGATTCGAGGCAGTGATCTGAAGCTGTAAGTATGTTCAGGCTATTAAAGAGGGTCTAAGAGAGTCCAATCATCTTGACTCGCGTCCTTGCAAAAAGCACAAATAATATTATAATACGCTCTCAGTTAATGTTGCGGATCGGAGAAATATCGAGAACTTTCTGTATGCATAATTATAACCAAGGCAGCGATAGATTGACATATCGGCCATAATTTCATAATATGTTTTTGAGTAGAGACTCGATAATGCACGATCGAAAGTTATTATGGGTAGGATTATTGATAGCAACGCATTTTCGTTTTAAGTATAAGATCCTTGAAAATGGTTTRCTAAAATGTTTCTGTGTTTTCGGCAAATGTGTGAGTATTATCYTTTAATGTAGTGAACCTCTTTTCGCGCACAGTTCCCAATCAAACAAAAARGTCATTGATGTATTTGCATCTGCAGAAGAGTCCAGAATAGTATATATTATGTTTTTTGTAAACATCTTCTCAAAAAGTACTTGTAGAGAGCTATTGTTCTTGGAAGAAGCCTTAGGGCGATTGACTAGACCACTTTGGTASTTTCCAGACACTCGACTGGTACAGCTGAAAGCTGGAAAATTCGATTACGGATTCGGGACTAGCTAAAATACATAACATCGAAAGAAAATGAAGATTAATGCTTTGAAATGTATCTGAATATGTGCTGCTGCTACTAGCGAATGCAACCGCGTCTAAGCTCAAATGATTCAGAATCATAACGAAGAGTTTTCATGTTAGAGTCTCTCTGCTTGTTTTATAATAAAATTGCAAAGCCTTCGAAGTGTTAAAACGTTTAGCCGTTAAAAATAGCTAGAATACACGTGTTATGAATATTCAAGTCCCTAGAGAATTGCTGGTTTGATTCAATTCTCTTTCAACATTTGTATAAAGACGTGTGAATTTTCTCTTTCGACCCTATTTGCACGTCATCAAATATTTATAGCAAATGCAATTATTTCCTGGTAAATGTCCCTTCGAATAATACGTTTACAAGTGCTTTCTACTTGTTTTATAATGTCTTCAGGTTTTTAGCAGGAAAAGTGAAAAAGAAAAAAGATAATTMGAATAAACAGTACAATGGAGCCAAATTCCGTGGATAATGAATAAAAAAAACACCAAAAAATAATATAGATGTAAAACATCAATGCTCTAATTGTTTGGACCACAGTCCGTGGTCTAGAATTATATCAGTGAAAAATAAAGCTTCCCAAATCCAGCCATCATTCACTTACAGCCGGTAAATTCGTTCACTAAACGCTTGAATAGGACGGTGCCATTGTTTGTAGCCGCTGGGGTTTTGTTGTAGGCGGAGTTGTTACGCTGAAATGTTTTGTTTCCCTTACATTACTACATCCTCTTAACCAGCGACTTSAACAGAACCATAGCGCTAACAATACAACCTCACAAACTAAGTTTGTCTCAACGCTTTTTCTTTCCGCTATATTCAAGTGTTAGATTCATTAACACTTTTTGCCCTGTTATTTCAATATTTACTTAAAAGCGACGATTATGCGTTAGCAAAACCTAAAAAGCGTCATGTACCATAAAATAATTTCTTCGGCGATTGTTTTATAAGCTTCATGATTTTGCAGATAAACATGTAAAGTAGACAACTTTAATTCGCTATTGAGAAATTATATATATATTATATATACAATAYATATCTTTGCACTACTATTTTCGAATCTAATTCATTCGCCACTAAAATGTAAGCGTAAATACCGTGAAATTTGTCTAAAAGCTCGCTGTTCATACTGACAAAACGTTGTATTCRCAGGGAATATCAAACAACACATCGCTGCTATTGTATAAATTTTAAACGGAGGTTATATAGGGTGGTCCTACTAACAATATGTGGCAGTCCATACAATAAACTAATTTAAAATCAAACATATCGACTTCGCGGTAAATGATCACACAACAGTGCTGGGCGGTGAAACAATCGACAAAACCACTACAATACTGAACAAACCTGATTTAGTTTTCTCTGTTTAAATTTCTATTTAACCTCAGTAAGAAAAAAAGGTTGTTTCTGTGTTTTTCTAATGATGGATTGATGAGGTGTGTATGGTTGTGATATTGATGTAGATATGTCGAGGGAATGGCACTTATTAGTGCCATGTTGTCACTTAAAAAAATCGTAGATCCAATCTCGTTAGATCCTCCCCCATGACAGCCTTTGATAGCTATCAACTGTCAAAGAACGTCAAGCCACACAACATTCTAAGAGGTTCTTTGCCCACTTAWAAATGCGACTTTCAGTCTACCTTGAAAAAGCGAGCCAAAACTGACGTGTGCTTGTCAAGGTAGAAAATCCACGTGCAAAATGAGATATAAATGCTGTAATTATTCAATTTAGTTTTGATATTGCACTAGTTTTTGACCAGGACGTTCAATAGAAACTTTTTTTCCCCCGTCGTCACTTTACAGACTTTACTGTGGGCGTGAGCTGAAGTAATGACAGACATTCGTAACACTGGCCGGGTCTGAGCTTTTAATCCATATAGCAAATATTTAGAGAAGCTAAGGCGAGAATATTTGCCTTCTATTTAGGTCGACAAACACGATGTTTTCTTTACTAATTTACACCACAATTGTCACCGAATTGATTCACGTCTTTTCTTCTAGGCAGCTACAATACAAAAGGGTTTGGAATTAGAGAATAATAGACTTAAACCAAGCGGTGATTATGAGGCTTTGCAAGACCTTACTAATGGTCTGGATRCGAGAATTACATCAAACAATTCCCTAATGAGTGCATGCTGGACGCTGATTGGCTGACGTGGGAACTTGTCAATATCATTAATCTCATGACAGGCTGACATACGTTGTGTTAAATAGTGGCAATAACATCACAGTACGAACAAACAGTTCAGCCAGCCCAAGGCACATCATGGCGACTGTTCCAATCACTATTATTATATCATCACTTATACTGCTGTGTTTACATCACGGATCATCAAAAGAGATGAAATGCGAAGAAATCAGCATCCCAATGTGCCGTGGAATCGGCTATAATTTAACCTACTTGCCAAACTTATTCAATCACGATACACAGGCCGAAGCAGCTCTTGAAGTTCATCAGTTCTGGCCTCTCGTTGAGATCCAGTGTAGTCCTGATTTAAGGTTCTTTCTGTGTAGCATCTATGCTCCGATTTGTGAGAAACAATACAACAAGGACTTGCCTCCTTGTCGATCGGTGTGCGAGCGTGCAAGAACTGGTTGCTCGCCGCTAATGCGAAAATACGGTTTCTCGTGGCCTGATAGAATGAAATGCGAAAACTTTCCTGAGTTTGGAGACCCTAAAACATTGTGTATGGGTAAAAATGGAACCGAAGAATCGACATTAGACTCGCAGGGACCAAAAACGGTCACACCGCCGGAGAAACCCGGCATTATAGCGCGTCCATCAAACTGCTGTTCATGTCAACCGCCATTCGTATCCATTGCAGGCAAGAATATCAAGCCAACACGAAGTGTATCCGTCGGTGGAGTACAGCAATGTGCGATGGCTTGTAATCGAACTTTCTTCACGAAAGATCAGGACAGTTTTGCTTCATTTTGGATCGGGCTATGGGCAATATTATGTTTTATATCGACGCTGGTTACAGTGTTAACATTTTCTGTGGACATGCTAAGGTTCAAGTACCCAGAACGACCGATTATATTCCTTTCAGCTTGTTATTTGATGGTCAGTATTGGTTATATAATAAGACTGATTGTTGGCTCAAAGACGATCGCCTGCGATTCCAATGGTCTCATGCGTTACGAGACGTCAGGACCGGCGCTATGTACTATTGTATTTCTGCTTATCTACTTCTTTGGCATGGCTAGTAGCGTTTGGTGGGTGATTCTTGCTTTTACGTGGTTCCTAGCTGCGGGAATGAAATGGTCCAGCGAGGCCATCACAAACTATAGTCAGTACTTCCATGTTATTGCATGGCTTGTACCAGCTATTCAGACTATTGCTGTTCTTGCAATGTCCACTGTAGATGGCGATCCTGTAGCTGGTATTTGCTTCGTTGGAAATCATAACCTACAAAGCCTAGTTGTCTTCGTAATTATCCCTCTTGTTGTATATCTAGTATTTGGGACATCATTTCTTTTAGCTGGATTTTACTCGTTAATTCGTATTCGAAAAGTACTACGGCAACACACGGGAGCGAAAGTCGATAAACTAGAAAAACTTATGATTCGCATTGGAGTATTTTCTGTACTGTATGTAGTCCCAGCTACAATCGTCGTTGCGTGTTATTTCTACGAATACGTAAATCGTGAAAATTGGGAAAAGTCTATAAACTGCTCTAAATGTGGAGTGAAAGGACTCAAGCCAGACCATTCAGTCTTTATTATCAAATATTTTATGTGCCTGGTAGTTGGAATTACTAGTGGATTTTGGATTTGGTCCGGGAAAACAGTGGAGTCGTGGAAGAACTTTTGTCAGCGATTATCCGGATCACGCCAGACGAACAAACACAAATCAGTAGTCACACATAAGAAATCTGCTACCGCTACAGTTTGAACAAGATTTGTTTATTTTAAGTTGAATATTTAACTCGTAGAAGCAAGGCTAAATGAACTCACAGACATAACTTAACATTGTCGAACACTATACGCTTTCAGGGAATTGAAACTATCTCGTCTTCTTAGTTCAACTAAGTCGTTTTATACCAATATGTCGACATAATCTTTCCGGGGTATTGTATCCAAATGGATAACCAGTGTTGACTTTGCTAGTTGTGGCTCGACCACGCTACTTTTATTTACCTTAAAACATTCATAGAGCGAAAAAACAATGTTCTAATTTGCATACTATAATGGCCGCTCTGCCTTGAATTGTAGACGAAGCGTGCCAAGCAAAAATGTAACCAACTTTACGGTCATTCCTTATCTTACAAGCTCGACCTTTGCTAGTTGCCAGTTTTATGCTTTTAGCTTAGAGTAAATTGATAAATCAAACAATCTTGACGACCTGAAAGCGGTATAAAAGCCTTTTGAACCAGTAATTGCAGTCATTATAAACCCCACGAGAATTTCATAGTCATAGTTCTAGGACTAAACCCCTAAAGCCTTTTTATTGTAAGTTTTCTCAGTCATACATAACTCAGACAGACCAAGTTGTGTTTTCAGGCCTAGCTCACACGAATATCTTAGGAATTAGAGGAATATTTGTTGAAAAGACTWTATCTTAAATGTAAAGTAAATCTAACTTTATTCTTTAATAAACTAATATGAGATTAGGAAAGCAAATGTTTACTACAATAAGTAGCTTTTACCCGCCCCGGAAAACCGGCCTTAAGTTTGCCATGTATTTGTGAAAAAAAACGTCTTTGGTTTTGAACACTGCTAGTTGATAATTGTACGCCACTCCAATTAGCACCTTTCACAGAATCTTTTCAGTAAATTTTTCCCTTAGGAATTAGTAATGTTGGGAAACAAAGAGCAAAGCCACGACGAAAGCCTGGCATCAATTAGCATTACGATTCTGTGTGTGCTAAAATAACAATTGATAACAATCAACCCTACATCCAAAGCTGCCTCAAAAAACAAAACTTTTTCCTTTCATGAGTGATCGAAATCTTTGCCTTAGTTGGGTTTTGATTCATTGTCTGGCTTCATTGGAAATTCAAAATGCGAGATGAATAATAGTTCATTTTATTCAAGTGCGAATCGAATTTATTCGATTTTTGGACTAAATATAATTTATTTTTGCTATTATATAGCTCAAGAAACGACCAATATCTTGGTTGAAATTTGCATGTCCTTGACAGCAGAAGCTTCATGTTCTGACTGCTGCCTTCCAAATCTTGACATTTCTGATATTGAAAACCTAACTACGTCTATTGTTTTATAGCCATTAACTTGGAAGGGRCCACCCATCTTGTCACAATTCATTATTTTTTTGTGTGTGCTCCTTGAAGTACAAGCGGAAATGGCAAGAAAAATCTATAGTGCTTTCAGACTTAGCTGCCGGATTGGCTCTCTTTCTATTGAGAGGCTTTACACAAAATTTCAAAATCAAGTGTTTTTTTCTAAGTTTTTTTTCCTTAGCTTGTTGATGACCAGTGACTCATTCCGCTGAAGCTGGACAACAACGGGTAGCATAATCCCTGAAAGAAAGACCGTTTTTATTTTGTAATTGTTTATTCTCTTTTCGGAACTGTTACGGTGGAAAGAGTTTACTTGAAATTTCACGCGCGTTTTTCCGTGATTTTTTAGTGCGCTTTTATGTATTGAAGGCTTGACTATTGGGATAGATTCTCGTCTAGTTTATGCAAACAATTGACACTAAACCTCTAAACGCGAACTGAGTAATTTCCATCGAATCTACAACTCTAAAAGCCGAGTCTAAAATCTAAGACAGTTCTGATAATCTCTGTGAGATAAGCTCATTTTTAGACAGAATTATGAATCAAGATGTTCGTTTTTAAAGGTGTTATTTAAGGATTACCAGCTAAGCCTGGGTTAATGGCTGACAGTGGGTTTGCCTGCGGTCATTGTTGATCCTTATGGCAGCTCCGCCCATCATTTTATTAAACAATCATATGAGGTCGAGGTCAGTGTATTGAGATATCTATCATTCATGTTCGAACTATACCACTAGAACACTACACACCATTATTTCATTAATCCATATTAACTAAATAAAAATTAGCTKGGCATTTTTGGGCCTTATTCTCTAATTAAATTTGTGTCTTCTAAATTTAAGGCTCAGTTTGTGTCACCAAAGCTGTAGCCTACTACACGTGGAAAAGTCATTACAGTTGGGAATCAGTGGAAAGCTTTGTAGCTTAGCTAAGTAGTGTTTAGACTTTTTTGARGGGTATATTCATGTATCAGACTGACTTTATCTCCAATTTCACGTGATTTCTTTCAAAGCTTGTCACTTTTCAACGGTATTGTACATAAATTTGGCTTGATTTTTATTCCATTGAAACAATAAATATAGCAAATATTCTCGGCGTTCTYTCGACAACCAGGTCACTTCTGTGCTGGAAATTATCGCCCCTTTTCTTTGTCTTTGTAAACTCTCCGTTTCTATTCTTTTTACTCTTTATCAAAAGTATGTTTTTTTTTTTTGTTTTCTTTGGAAGGTATGTTATAGCATGTTTCCTTTGCTTCCTTTGTTTCAATTGAATTTTCCTGCCATGTCAATGCTCTACCCACCAGCTCTTCAGAAAAGTAAAAATACAAAAAGCAAATTAACTAAGTTCTCAGCAAAGCTTAAGTGGCTATTTATGCTAATATTTCTTTTTCCACGATATTATCATGTTGATGTGAAACTGAATACAGTWCAGAACACTAGAATAGCATTCTCTTACAAAAACTCATTCATAGTCTTGTATTCCCATAATAATACTGCATTCAATAAAGAACTGAAAGCCGATCTCAATTATCCTTTAGAAATGCCTCWTTTTTGATGAAATTTTMGGCAGTCCGCCAAAGGCATTATTTACTTCTCCTAGACAAAATATGAATAGACGTCAATGGCTACGATCTCGTGACAAGGTAAACGTTTCTTGATAACAAAAGATTTTCAAACCTTCAATATATTCTGTTCTTAAAATCTAATATCTATTGATCTGAAAAGCCCCATACAAATCATTGCAGAGACATAACAGAAATAARCAAAATGATATTGAAAGAATGAAAGAATGAAGATTCAATATTATGTAACGAAATCATAAATAATTGAAATTATGTATAAATTGGGCTCTCAGTCAAACGTCGCTGGCAAACGCCATTATTGACCATCAGATTTTATTCTTCTCGTCATTATTGAAGACGGGAGGGGGGGAGGGGGGTCTCTTAAATTTCCGGTATATCTTTGTCCTTCAATAGAACACACCCTTTTTGAACGTTATTTAAAATAGTTAATGAATTATCCTGGCTAATAATGCTTATGAAATAAAATATAAAACAATATATGTTTTGTGCTCATTGCAGTTCATTATATCTGATTTGCGCGTTTCGTTTATGTTCACCTTTTTATTCCCTTTCTTTAATTTCTTTTTTTTTAGTTTCATTCTTCCGTTTCGGGTGATTTCAACTTTATTTTGCTATCCCCTTTCCCAGTCTTTTCTTTTCTTTCAAATTCTTGAACCTTATCTTTGAAGTGGCAAATGCTGTCTCACTATGAGGCAAAAGCAATTTASGGTCAAGATAACTAATTTCCAATTAAACGCGTCACATCGATAAAATATTGCCTTCAGTTTGGCCMTGGCTTTGCCTCCCTGAGTGATTCGCCAGTCCACACCGCATCGTATTAAGTGATACTGAAAGGTTTAATAAAAATAATCAAAGAAGGAACTAGCATTCAGTCTATGACACAAGCACATAGCATTTCAGGTGTTTTTGCTGCCACACTTCACATTAAGCTTAAACCTCAAGTACATTAAGATCATTCGCTGCATTGTCTGCGAGCATAAACACATTTGTATGTCAACTTTAGAGATATTCTTAAGACAGTATKCTTTAACTAAAGGGGCTTGACTACTTGAGTGTTATGATGAATCAAATCTCGACTGGATGTTTTTCTCTTTCGCTACTCGTCAGTAAGCCATATCTGCCTGTAAAATGGACAAGCGATTGCTTTTTGTATTKATRTGAATATTTTGCTCTCAAACTGCAAAAAAGCTATATTTGTCATAYAGAAAAACATTMGCGAAGATTTTGTAGGGAATCATAATGAAGCTTGAAGTTTAAGCTTCATTGTAGTTATTTTTTCGTGCGCGGTTTCAGTTTTTAATTCCTTTGCCTCGAAAGCCGAGCTCTATGGCTGTACGCACGCTATGAGTTTGTACAGTACTTACTAGAGCTCTCTCTTTCGACAGTCACATGTTTCGATTCTCGAGGGAAAATAACTGTCAAGCCACTCCCAACAGATGTGATTACACATTTTTCTTTCAAATAGGTATTATAATTTTTTGTCAATTTTTTTTAGCTATGGTTAGAAATTATAAGACGTCTCAGCTTATTCGAATTGATAGCATGCCAAGTGAAGAGGATTATGACTTAAGGGAGGTATTATACATAACTTGTCAAACACCAACACTAGCCATATTATCATCTAGGGATAATGCTCTTAAAACAGAGGTGAACACATATCTATAGGAAATAAAGACGCATTGTTTCCCTGCTTTACTGCCAACTCCCATTGAAAGGATCATCGATTCTTTATACAGACTTTCCTRAACTAAAATAGATTTCTATCCCTTCCACTTCACACGACAGCCCCCTGTATAAGATGAATCCATTGATAACGAAATAGTAGACGACATACGTAAGGAATGAACCTTAAACAGACATTCTCAAATAAACGCTGCCCTTAAAGCCACATATTTTCGAGGCCAGGCGCAACTGTGCAATGCCCTAATTCCTATGAATTGTGTACAAAAATGAAAAAAAAACCGTTTAAATATAATAGGCTTGATGTTTTTTTTTTCGGTGTAAAATATGGTTGAGAAAAATAAAAGTTGAGAAAAATAAAATAACCGAACAAAGTATTCCCTGGAATCTTGATTCAGTGTTAAAAAAAGAACGTCAAGGGAACCAGCTTTCGGTATATAAAACAAAGTATATAGTTTTTCAGTGATCCCCTACACAAGGGCTCATTAGTCCCGATTCTTATTGATCCCAAATCAATGACAGTTCGCATTCTTGATCCTTGTCAATCCTTGAATAACTTGGTGATCCCGACTAGACATCGATCCCGATTCAAAACTCCAATCCCTACGAACAAATGACGAAAATATGATTCCTGAAAGAATGCAACGATGACGTGTTCTGAAAGAGTCATTTTCTAACAAAAGTTGGTACACCATACCGCTTCGACTTTGAGCGCCATATTTTGAAATCAAMATTCAGAAGCCTTCACTCTCTGTTAGACTACACAAGTCTTTAATGAACATATTCGGATATAGGTATTTATAATTTTTGTACAAAAGAATTTACAAAAAAAACAGAGTATAGCGAAAGGAGCCTGAGAGCGAGGTTGACATTTTGACTAATGCTTCCAAACCTTTGCCCCAGCTGTCTATGATCAAATTTCACGATCTGCTGTGGCTCRTRGTCTGGCGCATTTTATTGAATTTGTRTTTCTTCTTGTCTGTCTGTCTACTATTTACTAATTCAAGAGAGATTCGGTACCCAGACTAGGTAAATAGCTTGTTATAAAACAAAAAAATAAATAAATAAAATACACTAAACAAGAATGAAGAATGGATATTTTCAACTGCAATCCAG